GGTGATTTCTTTAGAAAGTTTACACAGTAGTCAAGAAACAAATATTGATAAAAATATCTTATTTATTTCTGCTGATACAAGTAATACTATAAAAATGAGCTCGCAACAGTCACCACAAGAAAACGAGGGTAAACCATCGCAGGAACAACTGCAATCTGTAGTCGATTGTCTTAGTCAAGATGTATGTCATATAATTTACAGAATGTTTCAGAATTATTGCACTTTCATTGACTTGGATTCGAACTTATAATCATGCTCCTTCAAAAATGAAGTACAATAATTCTGAGACAATTTTCTGAGGCATAGTTGTCTAAGATAAGAGAGATTCTCTTATACTAGACAATTCTCTGGGCTAGACTATTATTTTCTGATTGAAATATTGTTTGTAGTTACCAAAGCTGTTTGTGAAACCTTTGAACATTTCGATATATACTGATGATCTAGTTTTTATTAACAATATTAGAGGTATAACAACAAGGTAAATTAATTTTATTACATAAATTAATTTATGTATTAATTTATAAAACAATATAAGGAATGTCTAACATTTTAAATATTGCTATTTCTTTATATATCCATTTAAAAATTATTGCAGGGGGCTTAACAATTATATAAAACAGTATATGCTGCTTAGAATGATTGGTCATATGAAATTTGCACATGTCAAATTAGATATCATAAAGATAACAATGCATCCTGAAAACGATACTGTACAGGTTCGTTGGCGTATACAAGGTGTCACGGGTTGGAAGGTGTTTACTATATTTTGGAAGTATAAATTTTGGAGAATAAAAGATGCCATAAATACCAATCATGATGTGTAAGTGTCATCTGTATTACAAAATTCATGTTAACAAAAACATCATTGTAATAAAATTGTCATAAATTTTCATTAATTCCAATTAATTGAAGTTTTTACTGTGATTTGAAAAAAATTTTACTTTTCTAATTCCGTATTACAGATTTTTTATTCTCTCTTCAAGAAAAAATAAAATACTTAAATTCCCTTTAACTAATTTTTCTTATAGAAACTATGAAAATAATATGTATGGGAATTATTTCAGATGGTACGATGGCTTCTCTATTTTTTATGTTAATGCTAATGGCAAAGTCTATAAGCATATTGCGGACAAGATGATGCCCGATCAAGATACAATCACGAAAAAGGAAGACCTACGTATTGCACCGAAATTAGCACTATTCACAAATCTTGCAAACATATTTAGTAGCAACGAAGATTCTATGAATTGAATACCGTTGTAATCACTGCTGGTTGATGGAATTATACGATTTTATTCAAATCGTCACAACGAACAGAATAAGAATGCTTTTTTCCATGGTCAGTGGTTTCACATGTTGCTGACGTATCAATTTCATTGCAAATCCTACGAAACGATGATTGGTAGTAAATGAGAAATATGTGAATTAAAAAAGATCTATTATTACCTAAACAGTATCTTTGTATGATTATAAACTACCTATATCTGATTTTTTAATTGCTTAGTAGTAGCAATGACCATATAATTTTGCATTAGTGTTTCCGTAAAAAGATATGACAATTATATTGCAGTATATTTATAAAAAATGTTAGAAAATGAGACAATTATTTACCAGAGTTAATAAGGCTATATCATTATTTGTTTTGCCTCTATAGATTGTTAATAACACTTAAGATATCATTAATGTTTTTTAAATAAATATATATATGTATATATTTTGTACTTAATTTTATTTTATAAATATATTATCTATCACAATTTATAATTTCTTTGAGAGTTGTTTTAATTCATTATTTTGACAATTATAAAAGATATCTAAATTGTTACCCTTTTATCTAAATATGATTTTATATACTATTATTATATTTTCATATCTTTTTGTCGGATTAATTATATCGATCTTACACACTGCTTATAAAAAAATAGAAAGTATTTTAAGACACTTGTATTGTTTTCAAAATATAAAACATGTTCAGATAAACTAATAAATATTTTTAAACAAGACACAGATTGTAGCCATGCTAGTTGCATACGAGACCTGAAAAAGGGAAAAATAAATTATAAATATATCATTTAAATGCCTTGCAAAACAATAACGTTAAGTATCCTGTTACCTAAGTAATCGTCCATTAACGTGCCAATAGCAAACTGAAACAAAAAATTGAATATGTAAATTGATGTAAAACGAAAAAATTCAGTGTTAATTTAGTACTTACAATTCCCGTGGCATCAACTCTTGTGCCCACAATTTTCAGTCTAATTTCGTCATCTGCCTGAATAACTACGTCCTGAAAGATATGTTTGAATTGATTACTCTCACAATTACAAAATTTTTGTTGCAACAAACAATGTTTTATGACATGACTTACTTCTTCTTTTGATTTGTAACAGGCTGGATTCACATTCGGACAGAACTGCATATCCTCTGGAATTGACTACAAGAATTTAAATTTATATAATATTTATGTCATATATGTAACATACTTAATTACTATATTTCATAATTGTTACAATTACTTACGTGATGAGATATAAAGCACGAAAGTGGACCTATTTCAGCAAACATTCCAACCTGTAAATGTGACAATCGTGAGACATCAAGTTGTTTAACAATTAATGAACGAATGTTAAGTGCGAGCGTGGCATGGCAGACAGCGTCTATCATGCCAGAGATCCCGGATTCGATCTCAGTAGAAACTGAAATATTTATACTCGTGTCTTCTCTCAGAAAAGGCTGGCAATCTCCCCGAGAATATCCTTGCCCACAAAAACACGTCTCAAAAATTCATTGTTCAGAATCAACATTTGGAACTGTAAGTCCCACATGCTCATGGCAATTAAATAATTAGTATACGTACCACAAGCATATGAGAGAGGTTAACATAGGCCACAGGCCTAAGATAAAAAAGAAGAAAACGAATGTTTAAACAGATTATTCTATACTCTTAAAAAAGGATCTATTTGTACCTTATTCACTTGAGTCACGATTGCATCTAGCACTTCACCCTTGAATGGCCTGAATACAATCGCTTTATACTTGACTGGATATACTACAAAACCTTGTCCTGGTTGTATAATACCAGCTCCTATATTATCAATTGTCGTGACAGCTACGACAAAGCCATATCTGAACAAACATAAAGTTAACATAATTTAAGATTTTGGAACTTTTAATATCAAAATATACAAAAGATACTCACTTTCCTGTACAAGTTCCTTCTACCTCTGTATAGAGCTTTTGCTTTACAGTATCGAGTAATTGGGGACCAAAGTATCGAGGATGTAACAAAATCTCATGTTCTAAAGAAATCTATATTTATTAAAAAAATTAAAAAGCAATTAATTTTGTTCTTTTAAATTTGATCAATTAATAATAGAATTGTACAGAATATATGAAATTAACTTACATGGTAAAACATGATTAAAAATTAATTGAAATAATATTATAAATATATAATTCAATTTAAATTTTTGAGAAAATATTAAATAAATTTATCACTTAGTTAAGTTTATATCAAGTCAGGAAACAATATTTCGCCTGTCTTCCACTAGCTGATGAAGGATACAGTAAACAAAAATCTGTAGGTTATACTCCAACCGCATGCAATCGTTAAGCTCCAGACACAATGGCCTAGTCCAACGAACTCAACAGTTTAGTGACCGCTCGCTGTATTGATGTATTCTTCTAGATCTAAAATTTTGATTGAATGAACTAAAAGAATAACCAATAACAGTGAGCCCTTACTCAACTGTTGAGTTCGCTGAATGCGTTCAATGGTGCAGCCAGAACAATAAAAAAAAATAACACGATTTTAATCCATCAGAAATCAGATATATTGGAATATATAGTTTCTAATAGGTTGAAATCGAGTTATTTCTACCATTATCGCTATCCTTTCGCATTGTGTCAGAGGCTTTAGTAAACATATTAAAAGGCTCCGCACAATAAAAGGAACGGAGAACAGAAAATAAGAATTTCAACCTATCAGAAACTGTATATTCTACAATACATGATTTCTGATAGGTTAAAACTCTTATTTTTTTGTCCTCTGTTCTCTGTTCCTTTTATTGTGCGGAGCCTCTAAACATTCTATTCTAGTACTACACGAAAAAAAGACGAAGTTCTGAAATTTCCCTATATTGCATTTTATTCTTAAGGTGCAGTTTTCAAATGCAATTTTTCTCACAGTAAGGAAGAATTTTCTATTATTTCAAATATCTAGAAAATATTTAATAAAAAAATATAGTTCAATAAAGAGAATAAAATAAAGTTTTTTATATATTTTTATGTAATAATTATATTTCATAAATATATAATATATAATTTTATACAAATGTTTTATTACAAAAACATTTATAATATATAATAATATATTTATAAAATATAATTATGTAAAAATATAAAAATAATTAAATTTTATTTTTAGTTTTTATACAAGATGAAAAATTCAATGCTAAAGTGACCACCTAAGCAAAAATAAATTCGATTCCCAGACTTGTTACGTATCTACTTCGTATATGACACACACATTAGGCGTTTAGACTAGAAAGATATATTATTGATAAACGCAAAGAATTAAAATACGAATTTGATCCCAGAGTAATCTAAGGATAGGTAAAAAGGCGATTATCATTGAAGGACACAAATTCCAAAGACAAGTCTTAAAAATAATTCCAATTTTCCAGGTAAGAATTCGATAAAGTTTGCTCACAAACTCTCGTAATAGGAAAAATTGCCATTTTAATGAAATCAGAAATTATAATTTAAGATTATAAAATAAGTAGTTGTATACAAGTAGTATTTATTTGTTAACCTCGTGCAATATTTTTAAAGAAAATGCACGAGTGATCAACTTATATGTAACCAATAACATGCAAAATTAAAATAATGCATTCCTTAATTGATCTAAATTTTTAATAAACTAAGTTTATTCGTAAACTCTATATGATAATATAAACTCTATATGATATAAACTTTTCAGAAAAAAAAGAAATTCTCTGGTTGTTCTCATACACATGGTTGGCATCTCTTTAATTATTATCTTTCCAGTATGTACGTGTGCTGTTTTCGACAAAATATCCATTTCCATCTCTGCCACTCCTGTAAAGACGTTCGCGTACGATGACAGTATTTCTTCCTTCCTGCAAATCGACAGTCATCATTAATCAAAGGAAGTATAGTCATCATCAAGGAAAATTGAAAAATAAAAGTAGTTAATATAATATTAAATTCAATTTAAAATTTAGAAAACGTTTCTAGAATTAGCACAAAGTGAAATATAATGTTACCACATTGTACTTTTTTAATTATTAATACATCATCACTAAAACTATTTTGTTCAGTGTTAAAGTATATGTGCCCTTAGCCATTTCCAAAATATTTTCCATTTCATACCGTATAATCAGTACGTTGATAACCGCTAACTTCACCACGGTAACCTTTTAGTGCAACTTGATTGTTACCTCGATAAGCTATAGCTTTATTGTTAGTATTAAATGACTGTCCAGTATTTGAAGAATGTTGGTCAACAAAGTCCCAAGCTTGATCTGGTGTATCAAACTTCTTATATTTATTATGGGAATATCCATGAACTTGGTCTTTGCAATCCTCCCTAATACAAGGTAATTAGATTCTGTGATTGCAAAAAGCATAATTTTCAATTATTTTATCAATTTTCTTACCAATTATCATAAACTCCAATCGAACGACCACTAGCCACTGCGTAGTAAGGCATTCTAAGAAAAAAAATTTTTTAATTTCATACTTTAATTTTTGGCACATTGCTAGTTATACAGGTCTTTTCATTTGGTAACATGAGTATCATTCTATCTTTATTATTTATTAAATATAAAGAAGAATAGAACGATGCTTGTGTCGACTTGTGTTATCAAATGGAAAGCATATTTTATTATTATTACTTTTATCATATCAACAAATCATATAAAAAAAAAGAAAATATCAAACAAAAGAAAATACAATTATAGATCTGTTACTTGCACTTTTTGCACTCAACATCTTTACTTTTTCATCATCCAAATATATATCTATTTCAAATTCGATTATTTTATGGAGAAATCTGGACTGATAACATAAGACAGGTATAGTCTTATAGGACAAAATTGATTAAAACTACAAGATCATACAAGTATATGTAAAATTTATGTGGTGTTAAATAATATAAGTCTGAAGATAGATATTTTATAATTTTTGTTCTGATGCTGAAGATGACCTAATCTAAGATCGAAATGTTTATCATTATATTATCATTATATATGAAGGAATAAATATTATTGCACTAATATCTTGGCTTTTATGCTCCTTGAATAATTTATTCTATCTCATTTTAATAATTCCTCCTTCAATAATTTATTCAATGCACCTCATTTTAAGTTCAAAAATTTTGGGGGGGGGGGGGTTCAAAAATTTCAAACAATGCATTAGATCATGTAATTATTTTTTGTTTTTTTTTTTATTTTGCAAATATAAATTTCAAATAATCAGAAAAGAGCAATCTTCAAAAAAAATTGGTTTACTTTTTCTTTATTATATCTATAATTACAGTTTTAAAGACATAGTATTATCAAATGCAGAAAAAAACTACAATTTCAAATATAGCATTATGAAATACATTAAAAGGAACACAATCACAAAGAAAAAAAGTATACATATTTTCAATAATATTTATATAAGCCTCGATTGCAATTCTCAAGATATTCTCATAATGGCTCTTTAATTATTAATTAAATTTATTATTTTTAATTATTAAATTATTATTAAATCTCTTTATTATCTTTCCAGTAAATAAATGTGGTTTGGTTCTTTTTGGATAAACTTTTGCACCAGTTCACCTTTCTTCCTCTTCTTTGCTCCTGGAGAGAAAAGAAAAATAGATGAACTGATGTAAAAGTTTAGCCAAAAAGAAGTCATGTATATATCTCCACCAAAATATTTTATCTATTTCTATCCTCGATACCATGATTGCTTTAATTAATAACTTCATAATTAATATTGATCAATAATTCTATATTTTTTATATTTTACATTTGTACGTTCCAATTGTAAAAGACATATATTATGATGGTCGAAGTACATAACAAAGAAATGACACAATAAAGCAACAGATCCTCGCCAGTTCGATTAATCGAAGATCATTATCCGAGATCTACAATCTTTTCGCAAGCAAAAATGTCATATTCATTAAAACTTACTTGATCGTTTACGATGTCAGTAATTAGCGTAGTAATTTTAAAACTTTTAGCCCTATGCTACTCAACCACATTCGTTTAGCAAAAAAAGTCGTATGAAAGTGTCGAAAATGACGTTACTGGCCTTTGTCTTTTTTTCATTATCAAGCGATGTATAGAGAACATAACATAACATAATTTGAATCCTATGATTCAGCTTGACGATATATCACGTGACTATTCGAGAAATTTCATTGGCAGAGAACGGGAAATGGAAAATTTGGGGTGAAGCTAATCCCACGTAATTTAATTGGCTAATTTATTACACATTTTCTGATTGGTGCCTGGAGTTTTTCCATTAAATCGAATCAAGTAAATTCACTAGGCCGATAGTAATGTCTGATTGGTTGAGATTGCTATGATTCACTCGTTTTGACAAAAAAAAAAACTACAAATACGACGATTGTCAGATCTGAATTACCTAAAATCTCGAGCTTATCTGCGAATAACTTCACGCGGTAAATCCAAAAGTCTGTGAATCCGTGCCGCCGATGATTTTCGCGGAAAATGGCATTTTCGCAATCGCATCAACAAGAACTGATTGAACTAGCCGAAATAACGGGAATCTCCACGGTACCCGGAGTTTTTCGGTGAGATATTTGTTGAGAGTTATCAAAAGTGGAATTTCACTCACGGACATAACCTCTGCACGGTTTTATCACAATACTATTTTCTCTGTTTATAGAATTGTATTGGAATTATTAGCGTTACAAGTATCTCCGGAGGATATTTACACCCTTCTTAAACAAATATCGACGAGATCATCGAAATCGCTGAACCAACAGACAACAAACGAGAATGCGCTAGCTTTTGTCTCATCTATGAAACAATGATCTTGTATATTAGTTTACTGATAGCTTTAATAATTATATCGCAATAAAGAATGTATTTATGTAGATATAAATGTAAAAATAGCATGTATTTTTCTAGAAATAATCTATAGTATGGAAAATATAATTTCTCATACTTTTGTTTGGCAAGAATTAGCCATTTTTATCATTAAGTATGATTTAGTCATATATATTGTAACTATTTTTGTAATAGCAATTTCTGTTTACATGCACAAAATGTAACAATGTACTTTACAATTTTAATCATATTTTGTGTCTGATCATATTATTTTAACAATAGTAAAAGTCATTAAAAAAAAAGAGTGAATTATAGATTAGATTTATTATGTATTATAACAAAAGTGAATTATATATTACATTTCAGGTATAATAAATACATAATGAGATTTCTATAGAAAAGTTTATGTATGTAAAAATAAAACAAATAATCTAAGATATAATCTATAAGAAGTACTTGTACTTTTCATCTTTTATTCAACTTGTTTTTTATATCGCAGGCAGCCTTCTCTTGCCAGTTTGTCTGCCATTTCATTACCATGAATTCCTACATGTCCATTCACATGATTCTAGAAGATTAAATGCCTCACAATAGTATGTTTATATTATATTAATTGTATACATTATATAT